GGTTAGCGATATACACTACCAACAATGTTGGTGACAAAACATAAACTAGAAGCAGGAAAGTTTTAAGCCTAGCCTTAAAAGTAGACAGGGTGTCTGCCTCACGGACTAAAACTGGTAGTTGGTTCCACAGGAGAGGAGCCTGAGAACTAAAAGATCTGCCTCCCATTCTACTCATGCACATAAAAATGTTGCTGTTTTTGCATCACTGGACCTTTTCTCCTGAAACATGCAGCCTGTAACTTGGTTCCATTGGTTCTACTGTAGAACATGACTGATCTCTAACGAGTCAGAAACATGTCCTGGTTAAAATGGTCAGTTCTGTTAGTGAGGACATAGAGGTTGGCTTGTTATCATGTTAAGCTGGAAATCATTAACTTTATTACCCTGCGGGTAAATTGGTTTCAGCCAGGGTCCGTTGCCATCGGTTACATCATTTTCAGCCCGGGGTATGAAAACACGGAGCAGCTTTTAACCTCTTCTCCTAAAACGCTGAGGTTTTCTTTATTAAAGGGTGTCCTTTGGATCAGAGAGAGTCAGAGATTGATGCTGCTCCCAGGACTCATCATCTCCTCCTCCTCTTCATCACACAGGCTGATGGCTATAACTCTTCCTGAGGACGATAATCAGCGTTGCAGAAGAGCCATAGATATTACAGCCATAAATCAGAGGTGGAGGGGGGATATTAAAGCTGCTGTGGTAGAGAATCTGGATAATCAATCCAAAGCGTTCTCATGCCAGGAGGAGGAGCAGGAGAGACAGAACCAGCCTCATCTCTTAACATCCGTCTCTGGAAATGAGATGAAGCCCTCTGAGCAGACGCCTCCAACTTCCTGCAGAGTCATCAGCTGTTACAGAAACATCATCTACAGACGGGATGAAAAATCTCTCAGCAGATTGCTGACTCACCGTTAGAGCTTTGAAAACTGCTGACTCACTGCTACATCCCAGGGGTGATGCTGCTGAACTTGTCATTAAGGCAGGCGAGATAAAAAATAAATTGTGATGCTGAAGGTCCAAACAAACGAGCTCGGTGTCATCATGTCTGAGCCAGGAAAGTTCTGACCAGTTCCTCCTCACAACTCCTTGATGGGTCTTTAACTGGTCCCTTAAGATTCCCTTTTTAAACATCAATCTTTTTACTAAAATATTCTTTCTGTCATGATTTGTGGACATTAAGATCTAAAGAGAAGCTTCTGTAATTCAGAGTAAAAACCTAAGCATGCCCAGGATGAAAAGTCAGCTGAGTACAAAACATAGAGAGGAAAACAAGAAGAACAGATAATGGATGTCTATTCTATTAACATTTATGTATCTGTAGAATGGGGCTATTCTATGTGTTGTCTTCTCCATTCAGAGGGGCCCCTGCCTGCCTTTACTTAGGGCCCCAAATTTCCTAAATCCGCCCCTGATCACAGCGAAAGTCGTCACATAAATATGGACCTTAAAAAGTGTATAACAATAACAGAATAAGTCATTAAAACAACTAAACAAAATAAAATCATGTACAGTGTTTTTAAAAACATAAATACTGTGAAGATGAGGAAGAAGCTGAGACTTTTGCAAGAGAATGTTTAAATTAATTTAACGTCCTCAGATGGAGAGATAGAGCTCTGACTGGGCAAAGCTCTTTACACACATTTAACAACAACTCCCAACACACATACTTTCCCCTGGAACTATCCCACCTCCTGCATAAAGAACTTTCTCACACTTGAACATTTGGAGGAAAAACAGCTTGAGTTCCCTGTCAGGTTAATCTATCTTCCTCTGGTCAGATGGATCTCCTAATAACAGCAGTCCTCCCCTTCATGCCATGAAGGAGGCTGTGACTCATTCTGATCTCTGATGACCTCGTTTGCAGCCTGTGAGGCTAAGAACAGACAAACCTCAACATTTTTTTACCCCACAATACTAAGCAGTCATCCGAAGAATAAATAATCAATATACAGCTGTGGACATTAGTGGATATGTAAAAAAAAGACATCAGACATGTGCAGAATGAAAGCAGGATGTTAATTAAAGGTAGAAACTGAGCAAAATCAGCATGAATGGAAGAACTGATTGAGGTTGTTGGGAACAGTGGTGGTTCTAGAGTCTTCCAGCTGCTGGGAGGAAGGATCTGTGATAACGCTCCCTGGTGCATTTAAGGTGCAGCAGTCTGTCACTGAAGGAGCTGTCCAGTTCAGCACCAGCTGAACCAGCATGGGGGGGTAACTGAAAAGAAATGTTCTAAAAGAAAGCATTCTGCCTAAAGCGGAGCTGTTAGTTTGAAGGACATCAGTTAAGGTTTCTCATGGGAGTTTTTATTTGTTCCTTTTCAATTTAATGTTTTAAGTTCTATTCGTAAACCTGATATTTGTTGTTCTGTTGGAGATTAAAATAATGCCTGGTTACTCATAACGGCCCATCAGAAACATCAGTGGATCATTTTATGGAACAGATGTTTAAATGTTCTCTGAGGATTGGGTTGCAGTTCCTCCAGTGACCACAGGAGGTGCTGCTGTCTGACCTTTGACCTCTTTGCCTCAGACTCTACCTGCAAACCGCGGTGGTGGGCGTGGCCTGGATGTTTCGGTGAGTGCCATCAGACGGCAGCGCAGAGACCTCCGCAACCGACTGCCATATGAGGACCAAATGATGGCATATCCTGCCTTGAAGGCCGGAGGCGGAGCCAATGGCCTGTACTACCAATCAGAAGACTGGAGAGGGCGGGGAATCGACCAGGCTCTGCAGCAGTTGGTGGACAGAGACCAGAGGAGGGAGCAGGAAGAGGAGCAACGAGCAGGTTGACCTGACCCATTAAAATGTTTTTAATCAACCCAAAATAGTTAAAAATCAATCTACTGGACTTTGTTTACAAGCTTGAAGACGTTTCTCTTCCATCCAGGAACAAAGTCCAGTAGATTGTTTTTTTTTTAACTTTCTTTCTGAGAGTTTTTGTTTGATTCATTTTATCAGTAAAATTTGATCATATTTATGCAGAGGAAACTAAAAACTGTCTCCCACAGCTTACCTGGCTGCTCTGCTCCGCCTCCTGAGCGAAGCAGAGAGCGCGGGATTGGTCGGCCCAAGAGACGTGGAGGTGGTGGAGGAGGAGGAGGAGGATGAAGACGATGATCAGGGACCACCGGGCGACTTTCAGAGCTTCAACGTTGAAGACTATGATGAGACAGGACGGGGTATGAGCATGGGGAGGCCTAGCGCCCCCTGGTGGGACCTGGTGGAACCACAACTGGCTCAGGCAGTGCTGGACAGGTGAGTAAGGGTCAGATGAGCTGTGAGGGGAGGAAGGGGGAGTCTATCGTAACTAGAAGTGGTTGGTTCTCAGGATGGATCCCCGGCTGGTCCAGAGTCTGCTGCAGAGAGCCGGAGAGTCTGGGAGAAGACAAGCAGTACCGAGCAGAGACCAGGACTCCCTCAGGTAGGACAGAGCAAACCACTCATCCTTTTCTATTTCCTTCCTTTGTGTGACAGTAGGGCCTAGAAATAGGCAATAGAATCTCTCTGTGGACCTTAGAGAAGTTTGAAAGAAGGAGGACCTTTGAGTTTATCAGTTAATCAGCTCTAACTAGAACCACCACAGATAAAACTGATAAGTGGACACCTTACTGTGATCCAGAATTAGTCTTAATGGAACCCATTACCATGAATCAGGTTGGGTCCAGGAAGGCAGCACCAATATTTTCTGGTTTCTGCTCAGAAATCCAAACACAGCTGTTTGATCCTGAAGGTCTGAAGCCGGATTTATACTCAAAAACCAGGTCGTCTGCGTGTGTCGCAGTGAACGCAAATGTTCGCCCGCCCCTCTTCCGCAGACGCTATGCTGCACCTCTCCCAAAGTAGGCCTCTGATTGGTCAAATCTACATCCGCAATACTCTATACATATTTCCTGTTTGGTACCCTACTGGCTTGTTCTGTTTCTATGACCGCCATTGAAGAAAACGACTCGTGAGAATGCACCAGAGGAAGAGCGAGATGTGAGGTCCTTTTTCCACCTGGATTCCCGCTCTTTTTGGCCCTCATGTCCCTCCATTGTCCCACAAACTTCCTCACCGCCTCGTCCGTGTCTAGACCCACAGCTAGTTCCTGATTGGCCCTCTGGCGTTATAGCGTGGAATAAAAGCGCAGACCACGCTTCAATATTGGGGATAAATCAAAAATATCTGCGACAAGCTGCGACACACTGCTGCGGGACGATAACGCCTTTAAGCCGGGCATACACCGTACGATTTTTTGCTCTTTTCGGGCTGATTCTCCAGTCGTGCGAGAATCGGGCCGACTTTCAGCCTGATTGTGCGTCATGCGTTGCGAGTTGCCGATTTACCAGAACCTCGAATACTGCACATGTGCAAACAAGGGAGTTCTTCTTCTTCTTGCAGTGTGAGAACAAACATCGTGAGCTGTGAACTTTTAAAACCTGTGGTTTCGTCGTACAGTGTGAGCTGTAGCTGCGTGCGACGATTGAATATATCGCACAGTGTATGCTCGACCTTATGGAGGTATCTGACCCACAACCTGGTCAGTTTCCCATTTTGTATTCCTCAGATATCAGAACAGGCTTCATGAAGGAAATGTGGATAAATATCACAGAGATGGATGATCAGCTTTGATTAGACTCAGACTGACTTCTTAAATTGATTTTCCTTTGCAGTCGGATGGTTGCTAAGATGCTATCCAGCATCAGCCCAAATGAGGCCCAGGCGATGATGTCATCAGGCCGCAGAGCAAAGAGAGACCTGACCCAAAAAGCAGAAGAACCCATTGGCTCCGCCCACAGAAGAACCCGCCGCTCCTTGGACAGCATGGCCCCTCAGTCGCCTAGCAACGAGCCACCGCTCCTCAGAGTAAAGAGGCTGGAGGATGAAGATGAAGAGGAAGAAAAGCTCCGCCTGCACGCAACCGGGCTGCAAAGAATGAAACGCATTGATACCATGGCGACCACCAACCCAGAAGAAGGGAGTCGTAGGCGCCGCAGAAGAGCTGTCCTGAATTATGATCCCCAAATGCTGATGGATCAGATTCTGGATTACCTGAGGGAGTAAGGGGAGGAGGATGAGGAGGAGGAAGATAACTGGAATTGTGTCTCTCATTTTTATTGTTCATATTGTTTCTTTGGTTTTGCTGCTTGTGTAAAATCTGACTGGATGAAATGTTTGTCCTGTAAATCAGGAGGGACCATGAATAGGGTTGCCAACCGTCCCTTGAAAGACGGAATCGTTCCTTATTTAGAAATAGAAGTACCTGTCCCATATTTAGTGGAAAAGGAACCAAATTTGTCCCATTTTACAGTGAGAGTAAAAAAATAGTCAGTAAAAGCTAATGGAAACAAAGAACAAGGGCACATTAGATACAAAACTTACGGTAAACTTGTTCCTATCCCTGTCCTTCGCTGTGACCAATGAGCTGACAGCATATGTAACGATCCAGAATCCCCTCATCCCATTGGTCCAGCCAAGTGTCACTCATGGAGAAGATAGCGGGAGACATAAGAGCAAGATGGGGGACGAACGGAGGAATTTAAATACTGACGCTGCTTTTTGGGGGCGGGGCACCTTCACAAAGCCATGCTCCTCCCCCTCAAAAAAAAAGGGATGCAGAAATATATGTGAATAAACAATTACAAGGGTGGAATAGGTCAGCGATAATGAATATAAAGCACATTGCAGGGTGTCATTTCACACACAAAGGAGGGCTAAAAAAAAATCACCATGCCAGGAGGGGCAAAGCTAATCGGATCAGCTGTCACGTACATGACGTCCCTGTTTTTCTATTTCAGGGAGTTGGCAACCCTAATCATGAAGGATGTTTAAATACTACATTACCCATGAGCCTCAGCTGGTGGTGGTGATGCGTTCTATTTGCCTTCAGATGTTTGAATCAACGAGTTTTAATTTGGAAAAGCAAATTAAGGTAAACAAGCAGGCTCAGGTCAGGATCCAAAATGGCCGCCCTGCAGATAAAAGCAAGATAGATGAATAAGCTACAGTTTGGTTTAAAGTTTTGATAGACCGTCTCATTGAAGCAGATCCTCTTACAGAGCTGATCTTCATCGCTTCCTTTACTGTTTGATCAAAACAAAACACAGAATGCTAACGGTCGCTAGCATCACAGACATTAGCGGGACCACCTGGCTTTCCCATTCGTAGCTGGACCGAAGTCTGTTTGGTTCTGGCTTTGCTCTGAGATCCAAACTCTGAACGCAGCATCAAAGCTAATCTCTAAGCTGCTCTCACATTGGCTGATATCTAGCAGCTGGGCTTGCTGGGAGTTGTAGTTGATCAGCTGCATCATTACAGGTTGTGTCATTAAATGCAGTTTACGTCTGATAGGACAAACGGACATATAGCGTTTGGAACCGTGGCGACAGCTTCTGAGCTCTGTGATTGGCTGCTGGTTGTAGACGTTCCTGTGCCTCCAGTTTGTTGCTGTACTGACTCGTCTGTTTGTGGAAAAACTTAGATTTTTGTGTCACAATAAAAAAATAAAGTCATTAAACTCATCCGCTTCAGTCTGTGCTGTAGAACTGTGAGTCCTGGAAGAGAAGCTGCAGCTCGGATGTCGGAGCAGCGAGATCCAGTTGAGGAACCGAACCGGGAAAGAATGTGTTGCTGAAATCAGGGAGTGTGCTGCGACTGTTGTTATGGTGATTTCCATCTTTTCAGAAAAGCCCGATGTTCTGTCAGATGTGCATACCCAGTCAGACCAGCATACCCAACGCAAATCTGACGTCTTGCCCATCTGTATTGACTATGGGTATGCTGGTCTGACAGAACACTGGGGGGAAAAATGAAGTGTTTTCATTTCAAAACCACAGATCAGAATTCATGCCTCCGATAGGTAAGAGTTAAAAATGTCTGAAAATGTCTTGGCCTGTTTGCACCAGAACATTCAGTTGGCTTATCGTGTGAATTCAGCTGAATTCACCATATTTAAACAATGCCAACCCACAACATGTCAATGAGCACTTTTGTCCATTCAGCCCAATCAGAGACATGTCCTGGGTCCAGGACATTAGTTCTTTTACATTCATCCATCCATCCATCCATC